GTCGTGATCGCCACGTTCATTGCATTCCACAGGGAGGTGTAAATGGAGTCGGAGAACTTGAGCATCGACTGGTTGTGCTTGAAGGCTGTGGGGAGAAAGGGGGGAAACAAAATGTAAACAAAGGCTCAACTGGGCTTTCAAATCCAAAATGGCAAGCTTACCAATCTCCGGAAAGGTGGGACAGATGAGCACGCCATCAGTGGAGAGCAGCTCGTGGAGGTCCTTTTTCAGGCGCTCCAGCATCGCCTCGTAGACGTCCTTCTTCACCTCGCCGCTGGTAAAGCCCAGCTCCTCGCTGATGCCCAGCGTCAGGATGGCCGCCGTGTACTCCTTGTTCCGACCGACCATGCACTTCAGCAGCTCCCAGTAGGGATTGATGGCCGCTCGGCGACCCTCGGTGAGCAGGTTGAGGTAGGAGGGATTGTTCGGGTCGTTCATGGCCGTGCACCAGAGGAAGAGGGCGTATCGAAGGTCGTGGAACTTGTGCGCCGTGTCGAGAGGAATGGTGCGCGAGCCGTGTTCGATGAAGAAGCGAATCACCGTGTCGAGGCCCTGCTCAATCTCCACGTCCACCGGCGTCACAAACGGGTCATCAATTTTCAGCATGTAGTAGACGTTCAGGGTGGAGAAGTTGAGCGGCCGCTCCGGCAGCTCCAGCCGCTGCTCGCCGACCAGCACCTTCAACATAGGCCGCAGGTCAACGGCGAAACGGGTCATCGGCCCCAGCGAGAGGAGCTGAATGCGTTTCGAGGCAAAGGGCGGCCAGACGCCGGTCGGATCGACCGCAGTGGGCGTCGTTTTGTGGCCAAAGATACCGCAAAAGTGCGCGGGAATGCGAATAGAGCCGCCAATGTCGGAGCCGACCTAAGAAATAGAACCGAATAAGTTTAGAAATAAAAACGTCCTCAGACTATTTCAACACCACCCCCTCTTTGCTTACCCCAATGACCGAACCGGCGCCGGCAATGATGGCGCCCTCGCCCGCCGAAGAGCCACCGGGAATCCTCGACTGGTCGTAGGGATTATTAGTCTGTCCGTCCACTAGGTTGAAGCCGTCCAGCCACATCACCGCCTCGGGAACGTTGGTCACGCCGAGGAAGATCGCCCCGCCGAGCTTCTTCATGCGGTCGATGGCCACGGCGTCCCGCTCAGCGGTGACGCCTCGCCGGGCGGTAATTCCCCCCGAGTAGGTCAGCCCGGCCACCGCAATGGAGTTCTTCGTAGTGAAGGGCACTCCGAGGAAGGGGTACTCGGCGACGGACAGCTCTTCGGGGCGCTTCTCTCTTCGAAGCTCTCGGGCTACGCGCTCGTCCACCGCCCGGGCCTCCTCCAGCGCCCGCTCGTAGTTTTCGTCGACGATGGCATTGAGCAGTGGGTTGATTGCACGGCAGCGGTCAACGTACGCCTGCACCAGGTCTTCGCTTTTGAGCTGAGGGTGAGGTGTAAAATGTGAAAGTGAAAGTGGAACAGAAATAGANCTGATTTCTAACTTTTATATATCTCTCACGTTAGCACACATTGCTCATGCTCGTCTTCTACGACGAGACCTGAATTTGGACAACCGTGCGTAAAAGACGTCCTTGTTCAAAGTCAGCGCGAAAAAATTTTTGGTGAAAAGTGGCTACCATCTGAAGGCGTGGATCTTTTCTATTTAGCAAATAGATGCGTAATGATTGCACTCTTTTACTTTGCCTTTCCTGTTGGTTCCGGCCTTGGATACACTTCTGGCTTTCAGATGGTAGCCACTTTTTGACAAAAATTTTTTCGCGCTGACTTTAAAAAAATACGTCTTTTACGCACGGTTGTCCAAATTCAGGTCTCGTCGTAGAAGACGAGCATGAGCAATGTGTGCTAACGTGAGAGATATATGACTGACCAAACAAAAGGGGAAAAGAGGGATAGGGAAGAAGTAAACAACAAGTTCCAAAGTTGACTTTAGTCGGACATGGAAAGAAGTAACAGCATCATCATCAGAGATAGAGGGTATACTCTTTCCAATTAATTTCCTCGC